CATACTTCTATACACTATTGCTAATAATCTAAATAGGATAGATGCTTGAGACAGAAATTGGACAGAATCTATCAAAATTAAAGATTATGTCCCTGTGTATACCTGCATACAACTTGAATCTTTTACAGTGAGAATATCTTTACACATCACTGGTGAAATGTCTTTTCAATCCATAAAACAGAACCTAAGAGTGATACAAGAAAACCTACAGAGAATGCAAAATGGAAGGAAACCTACAATGTCTGTGTTTGTGGCACACACTGCTGTGGAGTTTTAGGAAAGGGACAACAGCAGCATTGGCTGGAGTCATGGTTTCCCGTCCACATCCGTACAGCTGCTTGGCCTCCATCTTCTCCAGCACCCGCTGTTAACATTCTGTTTTATTGCAGCTGTCCGTGAACATGTTTGTCCCCTCATCCCTGGTCCTCTAGAAGTGTGGTGGCCAACGCCTCAGTCTGTACATTGTCTCTGTACTCTTTGTGCTGCTGCTGCTGCCTAGACTGTTAAGTAATTAATGATGAAAAGAAATATTTTATCAGTGGACATATGTTCCCATAACAGCAGTCATCCTTGGGGACTTGTACATCTTCTAAAAAAAAAAACTTAAAAGTGAATCTAATCAGCCACTCTAATTGGTGTTTAAGCAGGCATTGGTGATGGCAACTGTTCCCGTTACCAAAGTTCAGGTTTTGAAAAATGCGTGGAGCAGGGTTTGGCCCAGAGGTCATCTTCATAGCTCCCCACTTCCTTTCTTAGGCAGTTGTTTCCCCCATGTGTTATCATGAACATGCAACAAGTACTCCCCAGTGGTAAACCTCCAGTGAAACTCAGAGATTTTACCTTAGGGTGAGACTGCATCACTGGAGGGGAACACTGTAGTTCACGTGAGCATGGGTGTCTCTCATCATTGTAAACTCTAGCCTGGAAAGGGATTTTCGGTCTCACAGGCTGACAGCCCTCATTCTGGAGACAGGAACCTAAAGCCCAGGGAGGAGAGGAGTGGCTTAAGGAGTCACAGTGAGTGGGGAAGCCGAGACACAAACTGCTCCTGATTCAGGGTCCAGGGCTCTCTTCTCAGCATGTGCCTGCCTGCCTTCTCCATGTGCCTCACATGCCATTCCTGTGCTCTCCTGAGATTTCCTGTAGGAATTTTTTTGTCATACCTTATCAAGTTTACTCTTAAAAATGTAATGTTTGGGACAAAATATTCATATTGGGGACTGAGGTCAAACCTGTAATAAACAGTCACACCTCACAAGCCCCATGGCAGGGCATTCTACCACCATTTGCACTCCTTGTAGGCAAGGGGATGATAAACTGCCTAATTGAGCAACAGATCATTGGTCAACTTAGCTGTGGTGGCTTGGTGCCTCATTCAGCTCAGACTGCTATACAGAGCAGCTTATAAATATATTTCATAGTTCTAGAGAATGAAAGTTCAATGTCAGGGTGTCAGCATGGCCAGGTACCAGTGAGGGCCCTCTTCTGGGCTGCAGCCTGCTGAGCTCTCACTGTGTCCTCACAAGGTAGAAAGCGGGCAAGGCAGCTCTCTGGGGTCTCCTTTATAAGGGCACCAGTCTCATTCATGAGGACCCCATCCTCATGACATAACTAACCCAAAGCCTCTGCTCCTGACACCATCACATTGGGGGTTATGATTTCAACATATGAATTCTGAAGGACAAAACATTCAGTCCCTAACACTTAGTAATGGTCAACTTGTCTACCCTCAACCACAATTTCCAGAATTCCCTTTCTTGTATGTTTTCAATTAGGTGGGCCCCAAGGGAGATTCTTATATTTGGAGAGCAAATGTGATACAGCAGCCTTTTTATTTCTTATTTTTTATTTTTTTGAGATGGAGTTTCGCCTTTATTGCCCAGGCTAGAGTGCAGTGGTGCGATCTTGCCCCACAGCAACCTCCTCCTCCAGGGTTCAAGCGATTCTCCTGCCTCAGCCTCCTGAGTAGCTGGGATTACGGGTATGCACCACCACACCTGGCTAATTTTGTATTTTTAGTGGAGACAGGGTTTCTCCATGTTGGTCAAGCTAGTCTCGAACTCTCAACCTCAGATGATCTGCTGCCTCGGCCTCCCAAAGTGCTGGGATTACAGGCGTGAGCCACTGCGCCCAGCTGAGACAGCAGCCATTTTTATAACTCAGCGTTGTCACTGTGTCCAGCAGAAGCTGGACCTCACATCCCCTCACGTCCTCCTTCAGCTTTTCTAACTCCTGGCCCTCACCACGTGTGTATTTTTTCTGTGATGAAGGTCCTCTCTTTTGCAAGACATCCACACCTGCAGTGCCAGAGGCACAAAAACCACATGGTTTTCAGTCCTCACAGTCTTCAGTCCATGCCTGTGGCTCCAGCTAGTTATTCTCCACTTTATGCTTATCCTCCTCTGGCTTCTGCCTGCCCTGTAGACTTCTAGCTCCAGCATCAGGACAAAGATAACAGCCTTATAAAGACTTTAACCAGCTCCTACAATTACATGATAATAAATTCCTGTAAGAAATACACACACACACACACACACACATATATACATATATATATATACACACACACAATTTCCTAGTTATGTTTCTGTGATTGAACCCTGACTGATACACCCCCAGAAGCTACTGTCTTATTCATCATGACTTTATTAAGCGTTTGGTGGGTAGTGTTTCTGGTGGAATGGTAGACCATGGGACCTCCAGAGTTCTACCCTAAGGATCTAAAGTAAATTAAATGCCCCACCCCTCTTTAGTGATGAAGCATCCCTCAGTATCCAACAACAACATAAACCATAGCACTTGGGAGAGAAAGCTGCCCAGTCCAGTAGACAAAAGAACAATGGAAGAACGAGGGCAGGGGGAACAAAATGGTGAAAACAAGTTCTCAACAGAAGCCAGGACAGGCAATGGACGATGGATTCCATGTGGAGAACAGAAGCTAGAACTCCCTTGGAGTTATGGGAGCAAGAGAGTCCTATGGTGTCGCTGTGCCTCATGAAAGACATGGTGCTTTTGCTGTACATGACGCCCACGTGTGTGCACACACACACACCCCACCCCCCTGCCCCCCCACCCCACAAGAGTTTGGAAATACCCCATGTTCCTGGCTGCCCCAGGTGCCAGTGATTCAAAGTATTACCCAGAATGTAAAAAGTTATTAAAGATATGTCAGGGAATGTTGATTTATCACCTAGACAACCTGCAAGTGACTTTCAGGTTCTCAGTGTTCACGGTAGAGTTTCTAAGGTTCCAGATGCTTAGAAATCTGTTAGAAGCCAAATACAAGGAGGGATTGGAGGAAGCCATCTGAAAGGCTGTCCTTGTGATCTCTTTTGAACTTTACTTTGGAATAAGCCCTCAAATCTTGGAATGCTAAGAAAACACAACTCATCGGGAAAGAATGAGAACAGCCTTCCAGAAGATACCTCTGTGTTGTCATGATACTGATAGTCAAGAGTTGGCTAGAAAGTGATCATCTAAAAAGTGAGAAAAACACCTTAGACCCACTGGTTGGTTTTGCCTTTAGACTTTTCTCTTTGCCAAGGAGATGACCTGTTTTTACTAACAGGTCAAAGACCTAAAAGCAAGATGTCATCTTGGACTTTTAAAAAAAGGTTTTTTCCTAGAATCATAATACCACTTTATCATAAACATCAGCTTCCTCTTCACTTAATGTCTCAACGACGTCACAGACAGTGATGTTTATGATCGTGGTCCTTGTGCAAAGGTTTCCTGTCCTCAATATGGTTCATTTAGGAAGCCAGGAAAGTTTGTAAATAATGCTCTGTTTTCTTAAGTCAGCCTAATCGCTTCAAGATTTTTCCTTAGCTCTGATTTCCACCTTCTTCTTTCTCTGTTCCCATAGAACCCTTAACAAACATTACTCTTTTTATCTTACTTGGTCATTGTTTTTGTTTGACTCTCCAATTCCAGCAGACAATAGTTCCAGCACATAACTCAGAAAACATACTTGGTGCACCAGTGAGTGAATCTTGAAAAAGTCCCAGTCATCCACAAAGTCAGGCTGTAAAGAGTTTTCTGAATAGCTGAGGTTTATAAGTTTTAAAAATAAAATAGAACTTGGGTGAACCTAACTGAAAAAAATGTTTATTGTGGGTTTATGTTAATCTCTGACACATTGCTTGATTTTTTTTTTCTTTTTCTTGAGATGAGGTCTTACTGTCTTCCAGGCTGGAGTGTGGTGGTGCGATCTCCACTCGCTGCAACCTCCACCTCCCAGGCTGAAGCGATCCTCCCACCTCAGCCTTCCAAGTAGCTAGGACTGTAGGTTCGCGTCACCATGCCTGGCTAATGTTTTGTACAAATGTGGTTTTGCCATCTTTCCCAGGCTGATCCTGGGTTTAAGTGGTCTGCCCACCTCGGCCTCCCAAAATGCTGGGATTACAGGAGTGAGCCACTATGCCTGACTTGTACCGTGATTTTTTAGCTACAACTCTTTGAACATATAAAACATCATTCTGAATGTACCATTTCTTTCTAGATACAAATAACAGTCTATTGCTCTCAGAGCTGTTTTCTTCACATTGAAAGTAGAAATTAGCACTACCTGGCAAAAAAACTGAAAAAGGAAATATGAAGCTTAAGATACTACTGCATAAGATAATATTAACTTTTTTCTTAAATGCTGGTTTTATATACAACAAAACCAGAAATCCTGGCTACTCCAGGATCGTGAAAAGAAAAGGGGCTTTAGAAAGAAAAAAATAAAATCTAAGGAAAGATAATTATTTTAATAGCTGCCCTCAGGAAAATGCAGATGAGGGTGAAGCTATCCCAAATTAGCAATTAGATAAATCTTGAGGATTAGAGAACAGCAGGATTTAAATTCTCTTTTCAAAAATGCAGCAGCTCTGCTAGAAAATGAATGAATGTGATTGCAGCTATATATTTTTTTGACCGGTGCTCTTGCAGCTGTGGAAGTTTGACCCACACTGAGATGCCTCCCTGAGTCAGCCCTTTCTGTGTCCTTGCCTCTGCAGCGCGAATCTGTCCAAGGCCGCCTGGGGAGCACTGGAGAAGAATGGCACCCAGCTGATGATCCGCTCCTACGAGCTTGGGGTCCTTTTCCTCCCTTCAGCATTTGTAAGTTTACACTTGCAACGCACAGTGGGTCACATGTGAAATGATTTGGGTTTTGTGTTCTCTTCCTTTAGTCACAACAGCTTGCCTAAGGTTGGCAGGAAACAGTCAGGATTCTTACCCAGAGCCTGCGCTCTTAACCACTGGTCTGTACCTCTGAGCTTACTGAACACTCACCAGTCTGGGCGCAGCGGAATACCTGCTCTCAAGGCATGTACTTGATTAGGAATTGACTGTGTGCTTCCAGCAAAATTAATAACATTTAAAATAAATATTGCAAACTACAATGTGAAGATTTATCTCAAGGTGGTAGATGACAAGTCACCAAAGGAATGGCCCAATCAATCACAAGATGTTTTAGGTAGGGGTGACTGGATGATGAAGTTGGGAAGCAGGAGAGCTTGGCAGAGTATTTGAAAGATGCTTAGGATATAGGCTGTATAGAGAGAGGTGGGAATGGCATCACTGTTGGAAAGGAATTAGTAGTAGCACAAACTGGGAAGCAGAAATTGGTTCACATCATCGTCTAGAGTTTGGCCAGGCGGGGCCAGGGGGTGGCACAAAGGACATATGCCTCTGGCCCAGTAAGCCCCCTAGAAAAGCACCATGTCGAAGTGGTCTCTCGAGATGTCCAGCACAGCCAGCTTGTCTCCCAGCTCTGGAGCCACTTGAGGTTTCTGTGTCCAAACACCAGAAGGAGTGGCTTGCACATAGGGACTGGGGTGTATAAGCCATCTGTTATCTCTAAATGCTAGAATCACACTTGACCCAGAGAGACATTCCCACCATAAGAGGCACATGGACTAAGATCTCCCATGTCACTTCCTCATACTCACCGTGCGCACACACACACAGAATCGCCCACACGATGAGATGGCTGATGCTTCTTCCTTCCTTCCTCCCTCTCTCCCTCCCTTTCTTCCTCCCTTCTTCCCTTCCTGTCACTGTGGGCACACACTTAGAATCACCCACACAATGAGATGGCTGATGCTTCACCCACACAATGAGATGGCTAATGCCTTTTCCTTCCTTCCTTCCTTCCTTCCTTCCTTCCTTCCTTCCTTCCTTCCTTCCCTCCTTCCCTCCCTCCCTCCCTCCCTCCCTCCCTCCCTCCTTCCTTTCCTCCTTCCTTCCTTCCCTTCTTCCCTCCCTCCCTCCCTCCGTTCTTCCCTTCCCTTCCCCCCCACCACCCGCAACTGGCTATAGTTGAATTTATGACAAACACCCATGACAAAGCGCCATTGTGGACGACTGTGACTGGACCAGAAGATTTAGCTGAGGAGTTGGTGTGTGCTTGTCCTCAGACTTCAATCTGGACTAATCCGGTTTTTTTTGTTTTTGTTTTTGTTTTTTAAGACAGAGTCTCACTCTGTTGCCCAGGCTGGAATGCAGTGGCACAATCTCAACTCACTGCAACCTCCACCTACAGGATTCAAGCGATCTTCCTGCATCAGCCTCCCCAGTAGCTGGGGCTACAGGCGCCTGCCACCACACCCAGCTAATTCTTGTATTTTTGATAGACACGGGGTTTCACCATGTTGGCCAGGTCTCCAATTCCTGGCCTCAAGTGATCTGCCTGCCTCAGCATCCCAAAGTGGGATTACAGGTGTGAGCCACCGCCTAATCCAGTCTTAAGGCACGCTGGAGAGCACCCACCTTCCCAGCCCACCCCAGCGTTGCTCACTGTTTCTCACCCCATGCTAAAGTGAAGAGCTCTTTTCTCCCTTTCTCTCCCCTCTTCTCACCAATCTATCCATTCTTTCTCTTTCCATCTCAGTTTCACTACAAAACTATATAACCTCTTTTAGTTATAAGATTTCAGCTTTATCACACAACTTCTGGGTAACGATGAAGTCACAATAGTAGGAGGTGTGATTGTAGTGACTGTGGCTTTTATAATAACTGAGGCTGGAGTTCTCGCCCAATAATAAGTACTGGAATAAATTCCACATCACTCCTGTTTGGCTTCTGTTGTCAGCATTTACAAAAGTCTGGTCCTTTGTAACTGTTCTGCCCATGAAAATGCTGATCATGAAAATGCTAATAGGAAGAAATGTATTGCCCTTCCAGGTCCTCTAAACCCTTCTGAGCTGTTCATTTTTTACCCCAGGTGTTCTTTCTCTGACTATCCATTAATGCAGGCTAATGGAGAAAAAGAAATAATCATTTGGAATGCCTAAACTGACTGTATAGGTGGGCTCTTCTATATTTTGGAGTAAGAAAGAGCCCCATTATAGCACATTCTGGGTAAAATAGAGGTTGCATTATTTATAAAGACCGTCAGACAAGAATATAAAACAGATTCCACCCCTTCTAGACTATGCCAACAGATTCAAGAGCTAGGCCCCGATTAGGGTGACATAGTAATTAACAGTCTAAGATTGTAACTGATTTTCCAAGAGTTTGTTAGCACATCTCAAAAAACAAAGCCTGGAACAGTGCTTTCCAGCAGGCTTCCATCATGAACCTGGTGAGGCCCCACTCACTGTACCTGTCTTCTCATCAGCCATTGTCCCTTTGGTTGGGCTGTCTGTGTCCTTCAGTGAATCACAAATGACTTGGGCAGAGCGCTCTAATCAGGCATTGTGGATGGTACACAGAATGGCTTTACCCTTCCCCTCCCAGGGAGCTCATAGGGTAGTTGGCCAGGGTGGTCGTAGAGTCAGATGGCCACCTGATACACCTAAGCAATGAGGCAGAGACATCCTTCCTGGGGGAGAGCCGGGGGCTGAGACCTGAGGGAGGTGCCTACCTGAGTGAGCAGAGCCAGAGGACTTTGTTGTGTGTTACAGAAACCAATTTGTGCCCACAGAAGCCCACAGATGAAAGGAGTTTACTGAAAAGATGCTGGGGTGGATGTCACGGGATCAGAGGAGTTGCTGAGCAGCTGAGACTTGGAAGTGACAGGGCCAGGCCCTCTTAGGGGACTCAGCAGCGGCCCTTCTCCCTAGGTTACTGCAGCTAGCATGACTGTGCAGCCCGGTGCTGGCCATTCCACCTCCTAGTGACACCTCAGGCCTAGATCTGCCCTCCATGACTCAGGACTCTCCCAGCTCTGTCCCCAGAGAATGAGCCTGTTTCCAGAGAAGGGAGGATGGATGTGGGCGAGGAAGTCACCCTGAGGGGTAGATACTACCAGAGGGTTTCACCCATAAGTGAGTTGATGTGCGTCTCGTCAGTCTGTGAAAAGGGTTGGGTTTTTTTGATACAGGAGACTTTAAGTGTCTGTATCACAACATCTATGTTGTCTACTGATATGTGAAGCTTCTGGAAAAAAAGTAGACCTTTGCTCGGCCTTCACAAAATTAACATTGATGGTTTTGACCTTGAGGATGACCCAGGGATTTGTGCCATGAGGTAGTTTGTCATTTCGCTGAGTTTATACGTGCACAGGAATGAGACGCTTAGCTTGTGAAAGAGAGGCTGTCCAATGGAACAGCTCGACAGTTCCCTCCTCAAAACATACCCCAGGCTCCTACCTGAATGTTCCAGTGGCCTGGGACTGCCCTCCTTCACACTCACTTCAGTCCCACACACACCCTGTGTCTGCTGTCTTCCAGGCCCCTGCAGAGAGAATAAAGGATGAGGTGGAGGCTTCGTTCTCGGGAAACGCATGGATAAGTTGAGGAAACAGACACCGGTGATTACAATATGTGACAAGAAGTAGGGTGTGGGGCATTCAAAATACAGGGGCTCTGAGAAGGGGGACCATGTAGTCTGCCTGGGGGGCTTAGGAAAGGCTTTGTTAAGGAGATGGCATTCGATCTCACTCTTGAGAAAGGAGTATGAGCTTAACCTGCTGTCAGGGAAGAGGAGGCTTCCAGACAGAGATAATAGTGCAGGCTGTGTGTGGGAAAGAGCCAACAGTTCTGTGTGCCTGGAATGGGGATGGGGCGTGGGTGTGAGAGGCTGGAATTCCAATCTGAAGGAGACCGGAGAACAGAACACACCACTGGCCTTGATTCCACGTGGATAGTAGAAAGGCATCATTTTTTTAAGCAGGGCTAGTGGTCTCAGGCCAGTTTTCAGAGAATTTGAATCTTATAAAATATAACTCTGAAATTAGGATTATGATTTATACTATTTAAAATGTACTCGAGGATATAGCACATTGCATGTATTATCAAAATCATCATCTTAGCCACGTAAGCCACACTGTTGAACAAACCTGATTATTAATGAGTCACTGTTACCATTCACCTCACTCTCTTGGCATGTCTTTTCTTTTTGTTTTTTTTCCTTTAAGACAGACTCTTGCCCAGTTGCCCAGGCTGGAGTACAGTGGTGCCATCATAGCTCACTGCAGTCTCGACCTCCCAGGCTCAAGCAGTCCTCTCACTTTAGCCTCCTGAGTAGCTGGGACTACAACTGTGTGCTACTACGCCCAGCTGACTTGTTAATTTTTTTGCCATGTTGCTCAGACTGGTCTTGAACTGCTGGGCTCAAGTGATCCTTCTCAGCCTCCCAAAAGATCTTGTCATTTCTCACTCCTTAATGCTGCTTGATAATTTGTTCCCCCTGAACTACCCCTGCAACATCACATGTTGGGCGAGTCAGCTGTTACTGCCATGGCCCCCACTTCACCTCCCTGGGCCACACCCATGCTGTGGGAATGGGCCTTGTAGACCACAGATCTGGTTATGTTACCTGCTGGAGATCCTGTAAGGCAGAATCCAGGCTCCTTAGTGGGGCTGCTTTTCCCCTTCGTGCTCCGACTCCTAACGTCTCCTTCCTGGTACTTACTGTTTCTGCTGTGCAGAACTCATGGCTCTCACTACAAGCCAGATCCACCCTGCTAGCCAGCCATAATCTGTACTGAGAATGACACCTTTACACCCCACCTCTGCCTGCTGCACCTGTATTCACTCCAGGCACCCCTCCTCTGCATCCACAACTTTCTAGAACCTGGGGCTCAGCACATATCCCACTTTGCATTGTGACCACCGACTCGTGTCTTCTGGACCAGAGTGAGCTGAATGGGTCATGTGGGAGGCTTTTCCTAA